TCACCTGGCCATGTGACTTCTCCAGACCAACCACTGCTAAGACTTAAGGATAAAAGAGGTTGTTTAACGGTTGGTCATCAAGACATTGAAGGTAACACTCACGCTGGCTTTCATTCACACATTTAAAAACATAAAGCACTCCACATGTCTAATTTCACACACAAGAATGATACATACATGAAAATAAGATAAACAGATCCAGATGACTATGACATGAAGATTGATAGGTTACATGAAGCAATTTGTTCAAAGCACTTCTGAGCTAAATGCATTCATGTCCGTAAGTTCTTTTAAAGCATAGGGGGAGTCTGTCACACACTCTTCTGTCCAGTTTCATTAATCTGAACCTCTCATGCTGCTGTGAAACTGACCAGAGTCATATCAGTTGTTGTCTATTGTAGTTTGGGAAGTCTAAGGTCAATACAGGAATTATTCATACGGGAGAGCAGTGCTCTGTCCCCGGAAAAAGACAGTAGAGACTGAGAGCCAGGAGGGCAAAGAAGGAAAAAAGCAAATGTTTTTCTCTTCCAACAGCCAGACTAGGGATTTTCACATTATCAGGCATCCACTCTCCAGACAGGGGGAGGGATAGCTCAGTGGTTTGAGCATTGGCCTGCGAAACCCAGGGTTGTGAGTTCAATCCTTGTGGAGGCCATTTGGGGCAAAAATTCATCAGGGATGGTACTTGGTCCTACTGTGAAGGCAGGGGACTGGACTCAATGGCCTTTCAAGGTCCTTTCTAGTTCTAGGAGATAGGCAATCTTTATTTATTAAGAAAGATGGAACTCTCTAGTAGAGTCCCCAGATCACACCCAGATAATCACCCCTCAACACCTCCCTCTTCTCAGCAAATAGTGATATGTACTGGGAATTTCACCTGGGCATTGATTATGAAGCTTATTGAGAGATCCACTATATATCTCTCACATCAACCAATGGCTGATTGACTTTGTCATCTGGCTGGTTTGTGTGGTAGATTTTTGAATCTCTGTATTAAATGCATTGTGTTATAGTAAGGATGATTGCATAGAAAGTATTGAAAATTTTGTTTTGTTGTTAGTGTGAACGATATACAAAGGATCTGGAGTCAAAAATCAACTTCAGGACTGCTTTCTTTGATGAGTAGACACCAGGTGTACTAAAGAGTCTGATACCTGTGCTCTTTTGCAGAAGAGCAATGCTAGAATGCTTCTTGAGAGTTATTGAGCCTTTTGATGTAGCTGTAAAAACTGGTATTAAAATACTGTTTTCAGGAATTGCCACTTTGCATCTTACATTCACAAAAATGAGTCTGGATTGCTAGATTGGATTATGCATCATTTCATAAAAATCTGACAGTGTAAAGTAGGCTAAAGTGCTTTCTTTGTACTCTCTAGGAGAAGGCCTGGCCACAGAAATTTTCAAGCACTGTGTCAAGCAATTAATCATTCACAACCAGCCATGTCTGACATTGTCTACACTGACATTTTCCCTTCTCTAGCAGATCTTTAATCAAGTCGGGCATGATGTAGCCGCTGAGGCAAATCCAAAGGCCAGTTTAGAACTCCATGAGTTAGTTCTAAAAAAGGAAAACTACGTCTATACCATGCCAGGTCACTCGGCATTGTAACAACTGATGAATCCAGGTCTAACTATTTTACGTTTTTCAGGGGGTCTATAGCTTAAAAAAACTTTAAAAAGAAAGAGTGGTTCTGTAGCACTTTAGGGTACACATCTGCACAGCAGTGTTATTTCGGAATAACTGAAGATATTCTGAAATAACATAGACCACAGCTACACTACAAGCAGTTATTTCAACATAATGTCAAAATAATGGCAAGCTGGAGGACTTCTTACTCCAATTCCTGTAACTCATTTTATGAAGAGTAAGGGAAGTCGGAGGAAGAGTGCTCTTTCTCAGACTTCCTGCTGTGTAGATAGCACCAAAAGCTGAAATAAGCTATTTCGACTTAAGCTATGCAATTGACATAGATCAGGTTGCTTAGCTTATTTTGGCTTTAGCCCTGCAGTGTAGACGTGCCCTTAGAGACTAACAGAATATAAGTATACATGGTATCATGAGCTTTCATGGGCACAACCCACTTTTTCAGATGAGTGGAGCAAGAGGCACAGAGGGGCACAGAAAACCCAAAATTTACAGCAGAACAAGAGGGGAGGGGAAAGAAAAAAAACCTGTTAATTATAGTGTCCATGCTAAATGAGGCTAATAGAGTGGGCTGTGGCCAATATTTAGCTTTTGATGTCATTTGGGTATTGAATATAATGGCCCATCCAGTTCATGTATTTGTTCAGTCCCAGGGTAAATGTGTCAGATTTGCTTTTGTCATCTGCCTCTGTTTGTCAGAAGCTGGGAAATGGGCAACGGGGTATCACTTAATGATTACTTGTTCTGTTCACTCCCTCTGCGGCATCTGGCACTAGATGCTGTCAGAAGACAGAATACTGGGTTTTAGATGGCTCTTTCGTCTGACCCAGTATGGTCATTTGTACGATCTTATCATCTGACCCACTATGGTCATTCGTACGATCTTATCACCACAAAAAAATTCATTTAGTTTCTTCTCAATGGTCTTCTTGTCTTCTCTGAATGCTCCTATAGCACTTCAATCATCCACTGGCCCCACCAATTGTTTAGCAGGCTACCTGCTGCTACTGAACTTCAAACATGTTTTCCTATTAGTTTTAGTGTCTTTTGCTAGTTGCTCTTCAGATTTTTTGACAGGGTGGGGAGGAAGAGGGCCAGACTTATTAAAATGTTATACTTGACGTGCCAAATGTGTGCGCCTTTCTATTTTCCTCAGGTTTTGAATTCCAATTTTTAAAGGATGTGTTTTTTGTCCCTAACCACCTCTTTTACTTTGTTTTTATCACATGGCAGCATTTTTTTTATCCTCTTATTTAAAAAAAAAAGGGATACCCTTATAATTTGAGCCTGTATTATGGTGTTTTTAAATGGCTTCCATGCAGCTTGCAGGCATTACACCCTTGTGCGTGTTCCTTTTAATTTCCATTTAACTAGCTTCCTCATTTTTGTTTTGTTCGCCTTTCTGATGTTAAATACTATAGTGATGGACTTCTTTGATATTTCTGCCCCCCTAAGGATTCTTACTGCTATATTCAACCATGCAATTTCTGTCCAGAGAGATTATGTGGTACGCTTTGATTGCTTTAAGATTTTTACTATATTTGACTATATGTTTTCTTTCGCCTATTGTGCCATTCTCCCCAGTGATCTATTCTGCCATTCCTATATACTTTGTACCCTGTTATTACCATGTCTCACTGATTATCATAATTCCACCAAGTTTCTGTGGTGCCTATTGTATTAATATTCTCATTTAATACTAAGTACTCAGATTCACTCCTCATAGTATATAGACTTCTAGAATTTGTATATAAGCACTTATAGGGTTGCCAGGTATCCGGTATTGACTCAGACAGTCCAGTATTTTCACCTCCTGTCCGGTAAAAAAATTCAGAAAATATTGGACACCTAAAATGTCTGGTATTTTCTTTTTTTTTCCCCTGCCAGGAGGCGAAAATACAGAACATCTGGCAACCCTACAACACACTCAGCAACTAGGCCCAGCCCCCGGACCTCTCGCCAGGTCCCCGGACGCCTCCCCACTCCTCTGTTTACCTGGTTCTGTAGGGGTTTGTCTTGTGGCTGGAACAGAAAAACAAACTGGCCACTGGCAAAAAAGCCTCTTCTTAAAGGGGCCATGCTGATTTTTTTTTTCTTAACTGCTGTCAGGGTCCCCCCCTTTTTTTTCTCCTCAACAACTTTTGTCTCTCCCCTTTTTTTTCCTCAACAGAATGTTTTTCCTGGTTTTTTGGGGGGAGGGTGTTCGGTATTTTTGTTTAAACCATCTGGCAATCCTAAGCACTTATAAAATTTGTCATTTTTTAATTGCCTGCCTTCATATGATGCAATTGATTCAGATTCTTTTTCCTTTAACTGTTTCTCTTCAGTTCTCACCTGTATTTTATCGATGTCTATCCTTTCTTCTATACTGAGATATAGATAATCCCATGGGGCATCTCTGTCCAAACCGTGTACTCCTCTGGGCCTATCAGCTTTCCCCAAGATATTCATCTACAATCTTTTTAATTTTACGTGCCAGCAATCTGATTTCATTTTAGTTTAAGTGGTGCTGTGCCAGAGATGGAGGGAGGATGTAGGGCAGAGCTTGTGCAAGCAGTGATGCCAGCCTGAGGGAGGGAGCTCTCGTGTGGGCGACTAGGGCCATTGCTGCACGGTGTCCTGTTTTTCCTTTGGTAAGTATGGTCACGCTAAGTACACAGATCCACACCCAGCCTGGTCTGCAGCAGCCCAGGACTATAAGGAATATCATGGTCTATCCCAGCCCGGAGCATGCTCAGTGCAGGTGAAATCTTCAGAAAATTAAGCTGCTAAAATCTAAGTCTGAACTGAACATGTGTGAACTGCAATTTTTCAGCTGGGTCACATTTGAGTAGATTTTTATGAGGCTGGCATAAGACACATTTCTAACACAAAGGTCAAATGTCAAGTCCCTGCTGCACAGAATGCGGGTTCTAGAGCTCTGCAAAGAAAAGGCTGCCAGAATTTTCTTAACACTGGCAAAATAGTACGTTATTCTCTATCCTTTTTTGCAGGAATGTCTACTATTTTGGCTAGCGTTTTCCAGAAAAAAACCAGCCTGAAGCAGACACATGGCATGGGAAATTTCAGACCAAATAGTTTATAGTTGGCAAAGATATAAGCAACTGAAAAAAGGGTCTTGTGATGGGAACAAGATGCTACCATCCCCACCTATAATCAGCTTACTTTTGGGGCATGGGAAGTGCATAGTCATGGGAGGTCAGGTTTGAAAGCGGATTTCAAATTCACCTGTCATTTTAATAGTATTTAGAAAGCCAAAAAAAATGAATATGGACAATGTATGATAGATTTACTTCTGAGATCGGTTGTTGAAAAAAGTCCTTAAAGCTTCAATTCAATGTTCTCTTACCAACAGTGATAAAGTAATACGACTTGTTCCAGAGAGCGAGAGAGAAGCACAAGCATTGAATGCCATATTTCACCAGCTCAAGGTGCGTTGACCCTTTGTCACTTCAATACAAGTACTCTTCTCGAGGGCTGAAATGGGTTAATCCACGTGCCTTTCACCCAGGTGACTATTTCAAGCCCTGGGTTACATTCAACTGAAAATACAAGTGGGGAGAACAAAGGGGGAGCACAAGGATGATTGGAGACCTCAGTTTAAAAGCAATAGAGTTGCAAGAATTCCCACTTCATCCAAGTTCATACTCTTCACAGTGATTAAAAATAAAATATTTCCCACCCCCTAAAAAAGAAGAAAATAAAAGCAGGGAGAACAAAGTTTCCACCTGTTTGTCCGTATAGCTATTGCCTCAGCTTAGCATAAGAGCACTCTCCAGAATGCAGCCTCTCCAGCAGAGCTTAACAAGGGGCAGCCAGTGAAGGATGAAGGCATGCACAGCACCTTTCTCTAATCCATACTCATAGCCCTCTGTGACACAAGGTAATTTGGGAAGAGGGCCACCACACACATGCACTGAGCTCTGGCACTATGGGTACCTGGAAGAGGATTCTTGTGAATAATCTTGGTCTGTGCCCTGAAAAGCTTACAGTCTGAGTCTGTTTATGTTTCTACAATAGTTACCAGTAGCACAATGGGGCTTTGATACTAAATAACAATTTTGGGTATTATTGTAATATAGGTTGAACCTTTCAAGTCTGGCACCCATGGGACCTGACCAATGCCTAACCAGATAATTTGGCGTACCACAGGAGGTCAATATTGTCTAGAAGCATTACTGACACTGACACTGCTTACAAGGTTATAAGACATTTAGTGGTAAATTAGAGTTAAATAACAGCACAGAACACTGAGAACCAGGACTGCTGGCTGTAAGCAAACATTGTAGGGCTGAAGTAAACTTGGCCACTCCAATAATAAGTGGCCATTCAGCTAACTAAAATCATGCTGGACTATGGATGTTGCCAGACCAGAGAGGTTCATCCTGAACAAATAAATGATAAATAAAGCAAATACCAACCTCCACAACTTCTTTGGACTTCTGGGGTTCCTGAATGCATTTTTTTATTCCCTTCTGTGTAAGGGAACAAATGTGTTTTTCTTTCTTCTACTATTGCAGTCCCCAGAAAGCACCTCTCCCAGCTCTCTCTCAGTACACTGCTCCCTTAGACTCTCAGAAAGTGATTCCTTCTCCCATTTCCATCAAAGAGGGATCAATAGAAATTTGAATAACAACATGCTGTAACTCTTAAAACAGGGTAATACAATTCTGGCAAGGTGCACTGGAATCTAACGGGTTAATTAGAAAGTGGTTGATTAGGACAATATAATAAGCTAAAAAGGTTGAAAGGAAGATTCTTTTTAATAAATGGAAATGTACCTGCACATAGTAATATTCACCACAGGGTTCAATCCTGGTTCCTGAACCCAGTTTGTGGAAACAAGCTAAGCTTGGTTGCTTCTGAAGCCTCACAAATGCAGCTCCCTATGCAGCTGCTTCACTTCCCACCTATCTGAGTGGTAAACAGGGGATGTCAGTGAGTTTACATGGTCATGGATATATCCTTGTCACTGATCCAGTTTTGCCTTTTGCCAAACCCCTTTTCACAGTTGAGGGCCAATTTTAATAAATGCTGAGCACTCACAAATCCAGCAAAAGTCAGTGGCAGCTGCAGCAAGTCAGCCCCTCTGAAAATCAGGCCATAGGAATTCTGCAAACCTTCATGGTCTCTGTGTGAATTTATCATTCACATGGACAGAGATAGACAGAGAGGGAAAGCATGCAAGAGAGCATGCACTGTTTCTCAGAGCAGGGACCAATCTTTTCCTAGAAAGAAACAACTTTCATTCTTGAGCCCTGCATCTATCCATGACCATATTGTTAATACACTCAGAAATTAAAAATAGAAACCAATGTATGAGTAAACATTCATGTACAATAAAAGTAAGAACAAGACACAGACATATTTCTGTCTCTACAAATTCATCAACCCAGTGACAGATGCAAATGAAAACCCGTAAGCTAGAGCATTAATGTACAATTACTTTAATTATGTACTCTTTTATATTGGCCTTCAGGGAATCTCGTATTACAACACTTTAGACACAAGAACTCAGAAGTGTATTCAGAAGCATCTACTTTGAATACTTTTTTGGTCTGGATTGTAAATTTATATCACCCTAGCATCATGTTACTTACATCCTCTTTGCCTCAAGGGGAAAAACAAATGAAGTTGGAACCAACGTACCACATCATAAAACTCAGAATAATTTCAAGACTTAACACACTTGGCAAATCACAACTTCCTCAGATATATTATTTATTTGAGTTTGGCCTGTGGCTTCTTTGCCAACAGTTCATTGTGAGTATAGGGTTGCCAATCTTCCTGGATTGGCTGAGAGTCTCCCAGAATTGGCCTTGATCTCCCAGAAGCTACTGAAACCAATCAGAGATTTTAATAGGCTGCTACAAGGCTAGTTACTGAAACCAATCAGAGATTTTAATAGGCTGCTACAAGGCCTATTACAAGTGCTCCCCCTCTACCCTGGCTCTGTCCAGCATATCCCTCTGGCTCCTAGGCACAGGAGCAGCCAGGGCATCTCTTTGCATTATCCCCGTCCCGAGCACAGGTTTGTCAGCTCCCATTGGCTGGGAAACACAACCAATGGGCACTGCAAGGGAGGTTCTTGAAAGTAGGGGCAGCACACAGAGCCACCTGGCCATCCCTGAGCTCCAGACATGCTGGTCATTTCCAGGAGCCACCTGGGGAAGCACTGCCCAGCAGGAGTCCGCACCCTACATCCCAAACCTCTGCCCCAGCTCTGAGCCTCTCTTGTACCCCAACTCTCTCCCAGAGCCCTCACAGTGCACCCCTTCTTATATCTCAATTCCCTGCCCTAGCACAGAGCCTCCTCCCACATTCCAAACTCCTCGGCCCCACCCCTACACCTCTTCCTGCACCCCAAGCCCCAGCCTGGTGAAAGTGGGGGGTGAGGAAGAGTGAGCTACGGAGGGAGAGGGGACTGGACTCAGAGTGAATGGTGGTAAGGGCTTGGAGAAGGGGCAGGGCAAGGGTGTTGGGTTTTATGTGATTATATGAGTATTCAGTATTGAAAACAGAGTTGGATAGCTTTGACTGGACACACAGTGTTGAGGGGATGAGCAGAACTGTTAATCAAGATTCTAGTAAGAATGCTCTTACAATTCAAAATGTGCTCGCTATAGATTCTCTAATACTTGCTTAAAATTCCCTGTTTATGCCAATAATTCCCACTAGTAAACTTATTCAGAAAGTGAGCACAAGGGAGGCCTAAATACACTACCGCTAATTCACCATTACCTCACACCTGCAATAGGATGTAGTTGAAAGTTGTTGCACTGGGGAAGTAACTTCGGCTCCCTGATCCTTGGTCAACCGGCTCCACTAGAGCAGCAGGGGACCCACATTAACTTCTGCCACTGATATAAGTTCCTTGGACCTTATGCCACTGAAGAGATAAGTAGTGTATGTGTGTTGGGGGGGGTCTGTTTCGCTATATACCTGTCCTGTGCACACCTGCTGCCTAGATCTGACCTGTTTGTTCCCATCTTCCCTATGCCAGAAGTGCAGAGAGAGGTGGCTAGTGGTGACGAAGTTGCTTGCTTTAGCTTTCCATCCCTGTGTACTTTCCCTATGCCACATGTACTTTCCACTGGATGTTTCCAGCATTTTTAAATCCATTCTAAACTACTAAGGGAGCATCTGCATTGCACCCATAGCTCGAAATAAGCTACGCAATTTGAGCTACGCAAATTGCATAGCTTATTTCAAGTCAATTTTGCAATTGCTTATTTCATAACTTGGCACTGTCTACACAGTGCCAAATTTCAAAATAACCTGCTGTTCCAAAACGTCCCTTATTCCTTGTGCAACGAGGTTTACAGGGACATCGGATAGTGAGCCCGTTATATTTTGAAATAAGGGGGCGCTGTTAAGACATGGGATAGCTATTTCAGAAAACCTCCAGTATCCCAAAATAGCACCACAGTGTAGACGTAGCCTAAGTGACCTTAGAAGACTAGGGAATCCAGCATGGTGAAAGCAAATTATTTAACAATTCAAATGAAAACTCACAATTTTTGCAGTATATACCTAGCTTACTGGCTACCACTTCTGTCATCCTTCCAGCATTCTTCTGCATTACATATCTCAGTTGTTTGTCCTTTGCCATCTGCTCTCCATTGTTCAGGATAAATTGAGAGTCCTGTTGTTGATGTATAAAATCCTTCCATCACTTTAATCCAGTTGACTGATTGGAACAAACGCCACATTCCAAAGTGTTTTCCAGACAATTGAAGTTTACTTTGATTCGCAGAACTATTTTCATCAGCTATTTATCTGCTTTGGGACCCTTTTGGTCAATACCATTCATGAAGAACTACTTCATTTGAAACTTTAAGGCCAACTGCTACTGTCCCCTAAGCCAATGACTGTCTAGCCATTTCTTTATCAGATATTCTGGGTTACATCTGTAAACTAAGTCCTGTAGCTGCTGTTCCATGGTAATTGTGGTATAACAGATGGAGTTGAATCTCCAACAGCTTTTACAAAAATAAACAAAGTGCACACAGATCCTCCCTCGGGTAATGGAAGGGCCCAAAATAACAGACCTAGTGGCCACACCCCCATTCTCTTCTATTTGTCTTGCCTCTACAGCAGCTGCTCACATTGTAATCCCTAAACTGATCCTGGCTCTGCTGTTCAGGGAACTTATGGGAAAAGGATCAGTTGGTACCTTACAGTTCCTAAGGCAAATGCGAAATAACTTTTCAGAGGATAAAAGCCTGCCTGAAAATGCACTCACTAGCAAAGCCCCTCAGCATAAATGCGGCTATGCCTACTTTGCCCAAGGAGAGATTTGCAGAAAAGACATAGTGTGGATCCAGCTCCCTAACAGAGAGCTGTACACATGTACACATGTAGCTAGATGCTGTAGACATCGAATTTGATTCTGATCTAAATTACACAAGTGTAACTCTGGAATCCACACCATGTTTTGCCTTCTCCTTGCTGTGTCATGGAGCCAAGGGTGGCCCTGTGCCTGCTCTGGCCCCACACAGCCATTTTGGAGTGTGTGCAGCTTCTGCTCCATGCTGCCTCACTACTCCTGCATGAACTCAACACCGAGCTCACTCTGGACTCCCTCTCCCTGGATGTGGTGCTTTGCTGTGGCATCCCTACCCAACCGTGGAAAGGCGATACTGGAGACTCAACATCAGTTCCAACTGGTGGGACCGGCTGGGCTTGACCATGCAGTGGGACGACCGGCAGTGGTTCCAGAACTTCAGAATGTGGAAGCAGATGTTCCTGAACCTGTGTGCCTGCGCTCCTGTTATGCGACACCCAGCTGTGACCTGCCATCCCTGTGAACAAGAGGGTCGCCATCGCCCTGTGAAAGCTGGCCACCCCGGACAACTACCACTCAGTAGCACACCAGTTTGGGGTGGGCAGGTCCACAGTGGGTGCTGTCTTGGTGCAGTTAAGGCCCTTGAGAGGGCTGTACTCCGTGCCCGGGGGAAGGGAAGACTCCAGGCTGGCGGGGGGCAGGAGAGGGGGCAGCGGGGGGGGGGGGGGCGGGCACTCCCCAAGGGCTCATGCACCTGCCCTGCCTCATTCGGTGCATTCCCCTGTGTTTCTGTGAGCCCTTCTGCAAGTTGTCTGCACCATCAATGACATCCTGCTCAAGAGGGTCATCCACCTGCGGACGTGGACGCAACTGTGGCTGGCTTCACTGTCCTGGGGTTCTCCAACTGCGGGGGAGCCATGGATGGGACCCACATCCCCATCCAGGAACCAGAGCATCGAGAGGCCCATTTCATCAATTGGAAGGGGTACTTTTCAATGGTGCTCCAGGCCCTCAAGGACCACAGTGGTTGCTTCACAGACATCTATGTGGGGTGGTCCAGCCGGGCACATGACACCCGCATCATGAGAAACTCCAGCCTGTTCGCAGGATGGAGGTGGGCACTTCCTTTCCTCAGTGGGAATTAGCGGTTGGGAATGTCCGCATGCCACTCTGCATTGTGGGGGACGCAGCCTGGCCCCTCATCCCCTGGCTGATGTGGCCATACACCAGATGCATGGACCCCAGGCGGGAACGTTTCAACCGCCACCTGAACTGGGCCCACAACCAGGTGGAGTATGCCTTTGGATAGCTGAAGGCACGATTCTGTTGTCTGCTCACCCAACTTGAAATGGGTGAGCAGAACATCGCTGAGACCACTCTGCATTGTGGGGGACGCAGCCTGGCCCCTCATCCCCTGGCTGATGTGGCCATACACCAGATGCATGGACCCCAGGCGGGAACGTTTCAACCGCCACCTGAACTGGGCCCACAACCAGGTGGAGTATGCCTTTGGATAGCTGAAGGCACGATTCTGTTGTCTGCTCACCCAACTTGAAATGGGTGAGCAGAACATCGCTGAGATTGTGGCAGCATGTTGTGTGCTGCACAACATAGTGCAGCGGAAGGGGGAGCCTTCCTCCCAGGGTGGATGGCAGGCAAGGGCCGGGCGTTTGAGCAGCCCCGCGCAGCCACCATCTGGCAGGCGTACTGCAATGGGGTGCGCATCCGAGAGGCCCCCAAGGAGATGTTTTGCCAGGCCCTACACTAGGGTCACTTCTGTCTGGTATCCACATCTCCCTCCCATCCCCAACCCCTCCCTTCCCTCACCTGCCA